GCCATTTTTACAACCATGTAGCCCTTTTAGGGAAATCACACAAACGATAAATTATGTTTAACACTAAAATTTTTATGGAAAGTAACGTAAATACGATAAAAATATCAATTTTTTATACATGTTTACCAAACATTATTTATTTTATGATACAATTAATCTAGACATCGAATTATTATAGAGATCAAATAACTAATTTTAATATGAAAAATAAATAAATTCAAGTGTGGGAGAGCCATGCTTCAGCAAGAATGGGCCGGCTCGACCGGAGTGATACCAAGGCCTTACAGAAAACCAGCGTGAAGCAACACAAGCTTACGTTGTGTTTTACTGTGTGAGTGAGTTTAGCGGAGGCCCAATCCTCCCTCCTTATCCTTAATCCTCAAATCCCCTATCGTTAACTCCCTTATAACCCACAAGAGTCCGGCAACGTACTTGTAGTAACTGCTTTGGTGTGGGTGTCCATAGACCGCGCTGATTGCTAACCACCAGGTAATCCGTCTGCTCGTTTGCCAAGCTTTGACATAAAAAAATAAAAAAATGCCTATCAATATTTATAATATTTCCCATCTTTGCTGCGATATATGTTTGGTTTGGGATGAGTGTGGTCATTATAAACCCATTGTAAAGTTCCATCCTTATTAAGTTTTAATTTCGCCTTGCAGTTTTTACTGTCTTTCTGAGAACAGTAGTAGGTGAAACATTCTCCGCCACGTTTTGCAAATGTAAAGCCTTCATAGAGGATCACTTTATTCTTGTAATTTTCAAGTACATGATATTCACCTAAAACAAAAAGTTTAAATTTAACAATGTTTAAATAAAGCAAATACCCTGTGAAACGCCATTTTCTCAAAGACTTCTCGCGGTAATTTGCAGACGAAGTATCTTCCTAGATGGAGAAAGAATGAGCATTAACAAGGTACCACCACGGCAAACTGACAAAGAGCAGGTACAATCAATTAAAGAGAAGAATAAATACAAAATTTCAAATAAAAAAATATTTATTCAGTTGCAATGATTGGTCATTTATTTCAAAATAAGAATGATAGAAAAAAATATCATTTACATAAAACCTCGTTTACAAAAAAAGATTTAACATCGCATTAAGATATTCTGCAGATTATGATTTCTGCAAATTTAGACTGTGGCGGTCGATTGAGGATATTATTCGAATTAAAACCTTCACACTTTGCAATAGGATCCATTAGAGCTCTTATAAAGACTAGGAGGTGTGTGATTATGTTCACTGACTTGGTCGACAATAGTATCATCATCATCCAAAATTATTTTTGCTCTGCATTGCTGGGCTCTTTTAGAACAATACCGTGTTTTAGCGTTGCTACCTGATTTATGAAACGTATATCCCTTGTACAGAATAACTTCACTATTTCGAAATTTAATTATTTCGTATGTATCTGAAACAATAGCATTTACAACATTAATAAAATTTTAGTAGGCATGTAAATAAAACTCAAATAATTTTTTTATATATTCTTTAGTATGAGTTTTAAGTAGGTTTATTGTAGGATTGTTAATCAGTCAGGAAAATTAAAATAAGTTGTCCATATAATGCGAAAAAGGCTATAAGTTACCTTGCTGAAATATCGCATGATGTCGGCAAATATGACATAAACTTATAGAAGGTATAATAAAACAAACACAATATAGAGAATATACTTATATTATAAAAATTATAATATAATATGTAAAAATAAAAATAATATGCGTATTATTACAGAACACATAAGTGTAGGAGAGCCATGCTTCGGCACGAATGGGTCGGCTCGACCAGTGTGATACCACGGTCTCACAGAAAACCGGCTTGAAGCAACCACAGCGTCGTAGTGTTTCCCCGTGTGAGCGAGGTTACCAGAAGCATAATCCTTCCCGTCCTCCAATCCCTAAAACCCTAATCCCCAAAAGGTCGGCAACGAACTCGTAGGTAACTCCTCCGTCGTTGCGGGTGTCCGGTTGTTTTACGCCGGTTTTCTGTGAGGCCGTAGTATGAATCCGGTCGACGTTTAGTTTATTTGTGATGATGGTGAATCAGGCAACACGCATTTATCCTATTCAGAATTACATTCTATAGAAATGACCAGCAAGAGTTTTAATAATGTTAGGTGGAGGGTGGTTATGGTCCGTCCTTGAATATTTTAAAGAACCATCCGCATTAAGTATTAGTTTGGCCGGGCAGTTCATGCGAGTTCTCTTCGAACAAGACTGGTATCTAAATGAAGGTCCTTGTTTTGAAAATGTATGATTCTGGTACAATATTATCGATTTTCCGTTCAAAGTTATCACTTCGTATCGCGTATCTGTTAATAAAAAGTAAAAAATAAGGTTAAAGAGTTTATTAATTGCGTTTTTGGGATGTATAGGTATATATGTGGCCTGAAATTCTGTCGCTTGCAATTTTGTTGCTTAGTTCAAAATATTTCCTTAAAATAGTTATATAAAAAGTGGCAAGGCTGTCAATCTTTTGTAAAGGGTTTCAAAAAGAGAATATTCTTAAATATAACTTTCTAGGTGTATCGAAGTTTTAATGATGCCGATGAATTCTTTGACACCAAAAGGACGCCGAAAGCATGATATAAGTCCATACCATTTTTGTTTTAAAAAACAGTAATTACTAATAACTAGTGATGTGCCGGATTGCTAAAAATGAAGATCCGCGGATACGGATCTGAATACGGATATTTAGTGTCAAGATCCGCGGATACGGATACGGATACGGATCTTCAATTTCTCATAAGATTAGTGTCGCCGGCCGCGCGCGGCCTTGAAAAGATAGTTGACGTCTCGCTCGCCGCAACGTCAGACACGACATGTTTTGACTTGCATTGCGCGGGTGTCATTCATTTAATTATAGAAAACAATAATTATGTTTTAGTTATTTCACTGTCCTAAAAGTAAAGTTTTAACTTGTTCTCATTATAAAAATCTATGTATCTAAATGTTTGCAATATATAGGTGCAAAATATATGATTATTTAAAAAAACTAGCTGGATTTTTTTTATTTCTACCTGATGATTAACTGAAAAAGATCCGTAAAAGATCCGCGTGTAAAATAACGGATACGGATACGGATACGGATATTCGGAACATCACTACTAATAACTATTGTTGTTTTATATACTATACTTATCTCGAGATCCCATTTCCCTATTTCCTATTTGGACTCAGCTGAAAATTTTGGAGTAAAACCACAAATATCCTAATTTGTTATGCTTATTTTTTTAAATTGTCTGGTTTCTGTTGCTTGAGGGTAAAACCCGCAACAAAAACATGAAAGCGAATATATGAAAACAGACAGAATCAGAACACAGGTGCCGTGATGATACTCACTTGATACCTTAAAAAAAGACAAGACACGGAAAATGTATAACATATTTAATCTCATGGAATACCAAATTAGAATTCATCTGTACAATAAAAAAACCAAATAGTTTTATTCATTGACAATAAAATATAAGTAATATACTTAGTCGGGTCATAAGTTCTGTCAAAACCTTATATTTTTAATTTTCGATTACTGGCCAGAAATTCTTCGACTTATTTTAAAAATAGAACTTTCGCGCTTGTAGAAAATAAAAAAGAAATTATTTTTTATTCATTTTTAAATATGGAGTGGTCGAATAAAGAAGACAGAATCGCGGTTATCGCGTTGCACCGCTGTGGTTACGCGCCAAAAGACATTTTCAATATTCTTCAAAATTTGAAAATAACGTTACGGTTTGTTTATCGTACTATCAAACGATACACCGAAGAGTCAAGCTTCGAAGATCGTAAGAGAAGCGGCCGACCTCGCACAGTTCGGACACATAAGGTCATCAAAGCAGTGAAGGCGCGAATCGAACGAAATCCCGTACGTAAACAAAAAATCCTAGCTCTGCAGATGGGGCTAAGCAGAACCACTGTTAAAAGAGTACTAAATGAAGACCTGGGACTACGAGCTTATCGTAAAAAGACAGGACATTTTTTGAACGAGCGTTTAAAAAAAATTAGGCTAGACAGATCCCGCGCTTTGCTACGACGGTACGCGGGAAAAAAAATACCGCGAAATTCTTTTTTCGGATGAAAAAATTTTTACTATTGAAGAAAGTTTTAACAAACAAAATGATAAGGTGTATGCCCACAGCAGTGAAGAAGCAAGCGCGCGTATTGCGAGGGTCCAGCGTGGGCATTACCCTTCCTCATTCATGGTTTGGCTTGGAGTCTCATATTCAGGCGTAACTGAGGTGTTTTTCTGTGAAAAAGGTGTGAGAACTAGTGCCGAAGTTTATCAAAATACTGTCCTAACAAACATAGTGGAACCTCTTTCTCAGACAATGTTCAGGAACAGGCATTGGATATTCCAACAGGACTCTGCACCGGCTCATAAGGCACGAAGTACGCAAGACTGGTTGATCGCTCGTGGAATTGACTTCATCCGGCATGAAGACTGGCCCTCTTCTAGTCCAGATTTAAACCCACTGGACTACAAGATATGGCAATATTTGGAGGAAAAAGTCTGTGCTAAACCTCACCCGAATTTGGAGTCTCTCCGAGCATCTCTGGTTAAAGCAGCGGCAGACATAGATATGAATGTGGTGCGTGCAGCGATCGATGACTGGCCGCGTAGATTAAGGGCATGTGTTCAAAATGGGGGAGGGCATTTCGAATAATGTAAATAAAATTATATTGTACATTTAATGACCTTTCATTTCATATATAATTTTTAAATAATTGTCAAAAGGCGTATAAGTTATTACATCAAAAGTTTGTGACAGAACTTATGACCCGACTAAGTATTAAACATCTGAATTATGCTTATGCATAAAACAACATTTTGGAAAAGTGCGAATCATTAACTTTAATGGCTTGACTGATTTGCAATGAGTAAGATAACAGAAGGTGGTCATCGCCATATTCACATCACACATCATCAGCCTTCAAAGGCCATAATCACCGCGGTGACACTAGTATGAGACATGCAGATAAGGTAGATTAGTATCCCTACTAACCACCACAAGTGACATACATTCCTGATTTCACTCGCAATATACGAGGAGGTGGATGGTTATGACCTTTCTTAAAAACTACTACGTTGCCTTCAGCATCTATTACCAAACTTGCTGGGCACTTCATTGATAGCTTCTTAGAACAATAGCGGTTACGTGGCGACACCCCATGTTGAGAAAATGTGTAGCCTTGGTATAGAAGAACTTTCCTGCCGTTAAGAGTGATCAACTCGCACTCATCTGAAAAATGTGGAGCAACTTTATTATTATAGTTTAAAAATGGTAGCGGCCTATCTCTTCTTCACGCAAATACATAAATGTCCCGTGTCAGTTATTTGTTTTATTGCCAAACCATCACGGCAACGAAATGGTTACTATTTCCTGACCTTCATTATGAAACTTTTGTAGCCCAGCGCAGCGTCCGAATCGGTTTAGCTGTACACGCATGATTACCGTGACCAACGAATATTGAGATTCATAAAATATACTGGTGTGTTTTTATAGATGACACTGTTAAATTTACCTTCTTTCTTTAATGTCAGTGTGATGTTTAGTAGGTGCGTTTACAATCATTACCCAGAGCCAGAACAGCAAGTTTTTGGATCACACAGAGTTATGTACCTACCCACTGTCGTTGCCGGTCATAAATGCCAACAGTGAACTCAACAGTCAGTAAAAAAATTGATTTAATATTTATGATAAATTGCAATATCTTATCTTTTACTTGAATATTTTTTATTTATTTTATTAGCACTGTATCTAATACCCAAAATCGGTTAAAATTGTGACCTTGAACACAATGAAACAATGATCGGCACACATAGGAAGCATTTATTTATAAATCATTAAAACATAAAATCTCATTGACAAAGCTTAATTGTACCACAAGTATTTCATGCACACTTAAGAGCTTGCGTCGAAAATGACCAAGTAATAAACAATTTTACAGATATTTCGAAGACGTTACAGTATTGGCACAAAATATTAATTTATTGGTTTTCCGATTTTCACATACAGTCTGAAAATAGTCAAATATAAACTAGAATACCGAAGGAACCATGGTTTAACTAGAAAGTTTACGGAACCCTGCAACATTTTAGTTGATTTCGTCACCAACAAGCAAATTAAGAACAGAGCGATGCAATTGCCATGTAAATATGTCACAGCCATTAAAAAATTTGAATGCAACAGATGAATTTCTATTGAATTCAGTTCGTAAGTTCGTGAAGGGTTTATCATGATAAGCGAGTTGCTATTAAAATGATGAATTAGGTTATATTAGAACTGGGACTCGCACCGAAATCGAATCGCCATGACAAACAGCTACCAAAATTGGGTAGTTACCTAGGTCAAAAATATTTTCTTTTTCATTAAGTTTCAATACCATAAAATATTGAAAATAACTATAATTTTATTCATCGATCTGCCGATATTTTTTAGAAATAAGTTAGCTATTTGACGCTTAAATACTATGGACGTCACACAAATTTCACAGAAGAGTATCGTTTTTGGCATTTGAATAAAAGTATTGAATTTGACTAATTGGAAACTACCGTATTATACTGCTATATCGTTTATTAAAGGCCAGGCTGTTTATTTGATGGCTGATAAGACAATTGGCTGCGACACATTGTGATGGCTCGCGAAATCGCGATTTGGTTAGACAGCCAGTGTCTTATTGAAACAGGGTTCAAATTTGGCAAAATTACTATCCGTAATATATTTATTTTACTTATACCATATTAGAAGGACACTAATTATAAATTTTCTTATGTTTAGTAAATCTGTAAGTGCCATCACCTGACACCTCGCAAATTGGCGGCAAATGTGTATGATTAGTGACAGCTGTCATAATGTTGCCATATTTATCCAACTTGATGAACGCGCGACATTTTTCGCTCACTTTCTGCGAACATCTCAATAACGATTTCCCTTTCACGTGGTAAGAGTATGTGTAGCTGTGGTACATAATAACTGACTTGCCTTTTGCTAACGGGACAACGTGGTAATCTACTGAAAAAAAATATTGTATTAATAACAAGAATTATATCATTAGTTTTTAAGTTGTGAAACGTACTCTACATGATCCTATCGAACAAGCCAACCAACAGACTATAGAAAAATAAAACATGTTTAACAGCTGAAATATAGATGTATTTCTTCCAATACACAATACTAAACACTGATATAGAGACAGATATATTGATAAGAATTGACAATATCGAAATACACAGATATACAAATAGAAATAGAATATTAAAAAAATCTGCGACTTTAAAATTTTAGGAAAGCTTCGTCCAAACCTGAATGTTACTTATAATCTAACATTCTAAAGTCAAAATAGGAAATATCTTACAAAATACGAATAAATACAAATAGTATGAAATTAGTAATAGAAACTGTATTTGTATAACCTTAGACAGATTGTACAAAACTTTCTGGAACGCATTAGAACCATTTCACACAATCCGATTTCCAGTCAGTCAGAGTCAGTCAGTGCTGGGTACACGGCATGAAGATTCTAGCCATGTAGCTTCGCAAATACCGGAGCGTGTGAAAAGGTCTTAACGATTCTATTTTCTTATTTCTATCCTTCCTAAATTTTATTTATTTCAGGATTCTTCTTAAGCGATTTCTTCTGTTTATGGTTCAGATACGCCAATGTACATTTTTCCATGTTGTCTTCAAAAAACTTCAAATTAGCTGAAAGAATTGTCCTTACGTATAAATTATTGAGTATTTTTTTTTATGAAAACTAGCTCCGAATTTCGTATAAAATACCTACACAGTACTTTTAATTAAGACACGGTTTTCATTATTTTAAAATCATTTAAATTACCAATATTAGTCTAATGTTTTAAATAAAAAAATAATTTTTTAGTTAGCATTTTTTTATTGCTAATGTAAATTACAGTATGGTTTCTTTTTATTTAACTGCCTCAATTTTTCAATGGTTAGAAAAAAGTTATCTGGGGAATAATTATGATGCTGTTCGGGTCAGAATGTTTGTATAAGACAGTGACAGCAACAATTTTATTCCTTAGATAAAATTCATCTCACTCTTGAACAATCAGGCCTAATTAAGTTCGACAATTTATATGACGAATATGTGACGAGTAGAAATGTTGGTGCAATCGCGTAAAATAGTGTCGGGTGGCACTAGGTACAGCGTCAGCATCTGAGTGCACGCAATTGTTCAGTGGAATCGAGGCGACAAACCTTTAGGAATGTACCGCGGCTACACCAACGTAACAACCTACACTAATCTAAACTAATATTATAAAGCTGCAGAGTTTGTTTGAACGCGCAAATCTAAGGAACTACTGTTCAAGTTTAGTCCATTTATCGAGGAAGGTTATATAACATTACGCTACGATCTGTAGGAGCAGAGCAGCGGGTGAAATCGCGCGAGAGTAGCTATTACATATATTATTTTCACATCCACAAGCACCTACAAACTAAATACTACATTTTGGGAACACCCAAATACAATACAAGCTACACTACCCTACATAACATGTTGTATTATACTGACTCGTGTACTTAAAAACTATCAATAAACATGTAAATAGAGTTTTTGTTTAGTCAATGTAATTTAATATAGGTATTTTTAAATTCAATGATAGTTCACAAATTTGCAACGCCTGAAAGAGGCCGTTAAGCTGTGCCTGTTACTTTACATTTAAGTTCTGTGTACCTTTTTTACCTTAACATGCAAAACAAGAATTTAAATTTATACCTATGTTTAATCCTTTATTACGAGTCCCAAAAATAACTGAAATACGCACAACGCAATAAAATATTTTTAGTCAATTTTTACATACCGTCCATTAGAAGTTTTCACTAATTTAGGGGGTGGATGGTTGTGATAAGTCTGAGCAGAAATAATTTCACCATATTCATTCAACTTAAACTTAGCTTTGCATTTCCTAGAGGTTCTTCTTGAACAAGTTCCGTATTCTTTATGAGCCCCTTGCATCGCAAACGTATAATTCTGGTACATGTAAACCATTGGTCCGTTGTCGGCGAGCTGGATTACTTCGACACCTGAAGGTAAAATGAAGTTAATATATATTTAAAAAAAATAATAGATTCACGGCAATAAGTCACCATTCGATACTCTAACATTAGTACAATTATGTTTTAGTAGCTACTCTCGCCCGGTTTCGCCAGGTGCTCGGCTCCATTTTAATCGTAGCGTGATATTTTATAGCCTATAGCACTCAGGAACATTGTAGCTATCTAACAGTGAAAAAATTTTGGCAATCCGACCTGCGATACCAAAGATTACCCCCTACATACAAACTTACAAATTTTACCTCTTTATAATATTGGTATAGTTAAATGAATCTAATAGAAAATGGCAGGCAGTATCCAGAGTATGTGAAACCCGATATTGCTTCGGTTAAATATCTGAAGCAAACTATTTGAGTAAAATTAATGTATGTAGCTTCTACCGCTCATCGTATTTTTATCCATAAGCAAGGTGTGATCCACTTTGTCAAAAGCCTTCGGTAAATCCGTGCAAACAACGTCTACTTGTCCACTTGGCAGTCCACATTTTCAAAAAGATAGTTTATAGAAGATACAAAGATTAATAGTGATAGAGTGTCCAGGAAGAATACTTTAAGTTGACGCGCACCTATTTTACTGTGATTAACTCTTATGATGAAAAAAAAACTATTTACGCAAAGACATTATAATTCAAACTAAACTGAAGTCTCCAATCTCACGCTAATCTCCGTTGGCAACCAACACTATCCCTTAGGAATTATGTATTATAAAACGATATTTCATATTATACATATTTTTTAATATTCAAAATCATGGATGTTACACGGCTTGTCATTCAAAACTCAAATACAAAAACGTTGAAAGTAGAAGGTTGAGCTAACTCAATATCGTGAATTTAGTTTAGGAAGGAATGTGTGGTAAAGGAATGTATGTAACAAAAATTTTAAACATTTCACCACAATCATTAGTACATTACATTCTTTCTTTAGTCTTCATTAATCACCATTGTCGATCTTCAAAAAAAGTCCATTAGGCATTTGTGTATATTTCGGAGGTGGATGGCAATGGTCAGTATAAGCTGCGACAATTTGGCCGTCCTTACTCAGTTTCAACTTTGCATTGCAGTTTCTGGTTTTCTTTCTAGAGCAATAACCATAAGCTTTATTGATACCTTTCATAGAATATGTATAATTCTGGTACATTAAAATCGATTTCCCGTCTAGAAGTTGCAACACCTCGTAACCTGAAAGTAATTTATTTAGATTATGCATTGTTACATTCTCCAGAACTGTTTTAGTTTTAGAACCAGCAACTTTGTAGGACCGAAGTTACTTGTGTTATTACAGATTATAAATATTAAGATCCTATCAGCCGGGGTGGCGGAGCAAAAGGCATGGAAAAGAAGGAATATGAGGAGGGTTTAGTCAGTAAGAGTCTCGACACTCCCTCAGATCCCACCCTGGGCGGGAAAAGCCATATGATAATTATCCACTCACAAAAAAAGTTCCTGTGGGGTAGTAGGTGTGATAATTGTACGTTGTCCCCTAACGCCAGCGTTTAGAGAGTCTTTTTTAAACCGCGATGCGCCATATGTATCAGTCGCAAATAAACGTCATTTAATATGACCCAATTGCCCACAGAGTAATAAAAACAAACAAAACCTAACCAAAACTTTCAAATACATTTTACGACGGCTCCACACGTTGGCCCCAGCGCCGTTCTTCCAACATTTGAAGCAACTGTTGGTACTTGGCCGGCGAGTGACGATTTGATGATCATATGTGACAACATTCGCGACCCGTCCACATTTTATAGAACTATATCAGGCACATCCAATAAGCTCTGACGGAAATGAACAAGAACAATGAAATGAACAAGCGTTAGGGCCAACGTGTGGAGCCGGCGTTAATCGAAATCCAAACTAATATTATAAATGCAAAAGTAACTCTGTCTGTCTGTGTCTTTTCTTGATGCTTAAACTACTAAACCTATCTGTGTGAAATTTGGAACAGACGTAGTTTGGAACTCGAGGAAGGACATAGGATAGTTTTCAAACCAAAATTCTGCAGGAAGTCACTATTCCGCGCGAATAAAGTCGGCCAAAAGCTAGTGCATAATAAATACTACATCCATAATCGAAGACGACTGATGTACAAATAAAATAGGTTTTTATGAACATATTTTTTTGGTTTAAAATGGGTTATCTACATTTTTTTTAATTTGTGCACCTTCAAAAATCGGAATAAGAAACAAAATAATGTAGAGACTATTTTAATCGATAGACAAGATCAAATGTAAATTATAAACATGGCCAATATGAACTTCTATACATTTAAAAAGGTATATAAAAAGGTACAGTATTATTATTTTTACTGTTGGGACTAAGGTAAGCCTACAGTTATACTGAAGTCTAATGCGCAAAGTCAACAAACTAACAATCAAATCTTTCTACTTTATAATAGGTATATTAGCATAGATATGGTCGAATATTATAATTTTATTGTAATAATATTATGTTTTTATAAATTACAGTTATGATTTTGAAGCGAATAATTTTGTGTTTCTATTGATATAATGTTTTAAATAGGACTTTTATAGTTTATGTTTTTAAATTATTAATATTAGATTAATTGTGTCGCTGAATATTGAAATGTTATAGGAATTATTTTAAGTTCTTAAATATTAATTTTACATGTTATATTAATTACTGTGTTTTTATATTGATAATTATTTGTTTAACAGAATATTTATATGTTTTTATTAATAATTGAATTAAGTATGTCACTAACTCTTCCCGCTGGATTTCTTGGTGTAGATGGTGCTTGTCTATTGGGAAAACGATCTGGATTTTCCTGTCTGTATTGACGGTAATAACGGAGAAAAGCCGGTAATTGTTCTGTAAAAATAAAATAATATTTATTTTACCCCAATTACCCAATTATATACCTATAACCACAGTAAAATTCAAGCAATTAAGTAAATAACAGGTTCTAGATGCTTTTTTAAGTATAGAAAAACTTCTAGTTTAAAGTTTTTAATACTTAACAACATTAAAAATAAGTAAGTAATAATAAATGATATCAATTATAATATAAACAATAAAAAATATTTTAATAATATGACAGATATAATAATAGTATTATAATAAGTACCCTGGACGAGTTTTAGATGAAATAATTATTATTAATAGTAGCTATCGTGAGACATACATTTTCCAGAAAATAACGACTCACTTAACTGAATGAACTGAGAAAAGCTCTACTAGTTTCAAGACACAACGGGACTCTTATTCATGAGCAGCGTGCGCGTCGCGGCGACGTCGGGTACAGCTATCAATTACTAGAATTATTCTTAGTTCATTCACGTGAATAGAGTTGTTATTATCAATAAATTCGGTAAAATATACAATAAAACCTCTTTGTCTAATATAGGTATAGCTTGATGAACAAGCGTATGTACATAGACGTACTATTTATTTATTTTATATTCCTACCTATATCACCAAGGTACATGAAAAAATAAATCAAAGGCACTAAGTGTTAACAAACAATACTTGTGATTTAATTCTAGACTGATCTTTTATTGAAGCGGGTAAATCAACCAATGACTTCTTCCGCCCTAGTTGAGGCGAAATGGAGGGTCAGACTCTAAGTGACGAAAAATCACCCCCTCTTTTAACTTAAGTTGTAGATGGCGCTACTGAGGCGTAAAGTTTAAACTCAATCAATTGAGCTGTAACGAGCTGACATAACTAAAAAAAATATAAAATTTCGATAGACTATGCGATATTATCTTTGTAACATCAATAACAATAAAAAATATTTGTTTAATGTATAATTGGACTTACTGAATAACAGATTAAAAGAATAATTAAGACATTACCTCTATTTTTTTATTAGACAGAGTTAGCTAAGTTCGATTTTCCACCGTTGCATGGTTATGTTTACCTCGGTAACCGATAAAATGCTTTTCGTTTTCGACAATCAGTTGAAATTCGCATCCAAAATTTGTGCAGTACCAACGTGACTTGCTCATCTTCTGACAAAATGTGTTATTCTCAAATACCAGTAACTTCTCACCAAATCTTGTCGAAATGAATTGCAGACTGGAACCTTGAAATATAAAGACTTTTTTAATAAATTCATTAACATAAACATAAACTTCCATTACATTAAATGATCTTCTGCACTCAGAAACGGTTAATGATTTCCTACACTATTCTGACGGAACAGTTTTATTCCAAACCCAATGATAAGCGGTGGGTAACCTCTTTTTAAATTTAAGTCATCTTAAAATTGGTAATGTGTAATTGCATTTTTGACCCCTGACTGTACGTTTGTACACCCGTTTGACTACCTATTACGGTGAAACCGGCCAACATTGCCTTTAGCGGATATCTTTGTCCGAACACGAAAAATGACTACAATCTTGAATTGTAAAGAAATTGTATTTATTTTTATAGGTATAAAAATAAAAAAAGTGGATAGCTATATAAATTTCTTTGTTGGCCGGTTTCATCGTACATAAATATTAATTAATTACATACTCCTTTTAAATAAATGAATGACACTCAGACATTGCGGTTATAATTCCATGTTATACTAGTTAAACGAACTTATGATGCACAAGCATTTAAGCTGCAAATTTGTAATCGAAATTCTCTTTCAGTCCTTTATAAAGTTATTAGGATTGCATGCCAACTGCAATAGGGTCGCATAATTTTATTTTTTGGAAGGCCGCGTATTATTTTTTTCAAACACCGTAATCCTGGGTAGGAATGCCAATAGGGTGATATTTAGGTATTCCCTTTCATACTGCCGAAGTAGGGAGAAAACATCATAAATCAAAAATCATACTACTCTGTCAAGAAAGTACCGGGAAAAAGTCAATAATACACAAAATGTTTGTTATTCATCTAAATTTATTTTATCACCTTCAAAGTATGCTCCTTCAGAAACGATACACTTACGCCAACGAATAATCCAATCATCGAAACTTTTTTTAAACGCTGTTTCCGGAATTGAGCTCAGTGC